ATAAATTAAGATATATATTATCTAATCCTAATTTAATTTACTCTATAAGACTTTTAATAAGATTAGAAAAACCTAGAAAAGCTAAATAGTAGTAAATAAAGAGCAAGCAATAAACGTATTACTAAAGCAGCCAAGTCTGACTTACAAAAACCAAGAATAACCTAATTATTACACTCCTGTTTTTGGAAGGATGGGATGCTATTTCTAGATATTTCTATTTCTGGATGGGGTTAAGAGTTTGTAACGGCCAAGGGCGTCAAATAGCTTGCGGCGCGTCAAAAGAGAAAGCGGTCAAGTCATGTAAGAAAACAACATTGTGTAAGTATTTTCCACTTAGTAAGATTGAAATGTTGAGTCAGCATTTGGGAGCGCCAGATTCAGAGCCATCGTGTCGCTTTTGTTAGGGTTGGTGTGATCGTTTTGAATGCCTCGAGCGTTTCGCCGGGTGTGTGTAGTCTAACGCGAGCTCATCCGTTGAAGTCTCAGAATCTGGAGGGTCAGCCGTTGTATGAGAATCTTTATTTAGCGAGCTTTGAGACTCCTGACTCAGTGCTTCGATTGTGTAGATTCCGTCCAGTGAAGCGTCAATTGTAAAGCTGGAGACCCCGCCAAAGCTTGCATCAACAGCTAGCGTCCTAACTTGACCGTCATTGACTCTCTTGTTCGCCCGCTTAATCGCTTCATCCCTCTGCTCTTTCGCCCAGTCTCTCGCGTTCCGATACGCAGTCGCTCCCTGACGGAAGGTATCAACAGTGTCTGTCATAGCAAAGGATCTTAGTTGATTCATGCAATATTCAGGCCGACCGCCAGGACTGGTTGGCTGAGTAGGGTGGTTGGTGTATATCTTGAGCTGGCCACCATGATAGATAGACGTAATTGTGTAAGCACTGTTACTGCCCGTTCCAAAAGTGTTGCAGTTCCTTAGCGCGACCCAAAAATTGCTGTGCTGGCGGGGCAAAAAAGTGGTCAAAAGAAGGAATCGCCAACTGCGCAGTAAATAGCCGTAGATTTTGCTTGTAAATGCTTATGAAGCTCGCTATTATCCCTATTCGGCCCTATATTGCTTTTTGAGCTTGGTGTTGCATTTCGCGATGAGTAATCTGCGTTTTTCGAAGGCAGCGGTAGAGAATATGGCCCTTTTGCTTGCTACTGACATAGACCCTAAAGAAATAGCTGCTGCCTTTCGTTGCCACGCCGCAACAGTGTATAGAATTAAGCAGAACGTCGCTATATTCGGAGATCCACAGCCTGCGCCTGTATTAGTTCAGGGTAGGCCTCGAAAAATCACTGCAGAAGCGTTAGAAGGCCTTCTTGACTAGGTACTTGATAATGGAAAGGAGCATAAGACCGCGTATCTTGATAAGATGGTTTATTTTCTTGATGAAGAGTATGATATTAATACATCAAAGCAGACAATTTCTCAAGTACTTCGTGCTAATAATATAACGCAAAAAGCGGTTAGTATAGCTATCTATAAATATTTGGCTTCAAACTCACTTTCTAGATCAAAAAACGCGCTGCTAAACGAGACGAAGATTTACTGACCTTTTATTGAGCTCGAATAGCTGAAATATGTACTGAACAGGCTATTTTTGTTGATGAAACAGCTGTAAATAAGTGTATAAAAGACTGTTAAAGAGGCTAGTTAAAACGCGGCGTACTGTGTAGAGTTACTGTACTATATAAGCACTTAAGGAGATAAAGTATTTGCCCTGTAATAGATATTAATGGCTATCTTGATTATAAGATATACTATAGTAGCTTTAATACTAAGAGATTTAACAACTTTATTCAAAGATTACTACTAAAAATAAATCTGTATCTTAGGCCACGTTTAGTACTAATTATAGATAACTATAACACTTACTATAGCTAGATAGGGCTCAAAATAGCTTTATTTAACGTTAATACTAAAAATAGTATTTAAGAGCTTTAGGATATATATATAAAGAGAGGCGTTCTATTAATATTCCTTTTTTTATACTCTCCTAACTTTAATTCTATTAAATTGTTGTTCTCTCTGCTAAAAGCATAAATAAAGGGGCATTAAGAGCTAGTAAATAACTTTAATAAGTGATTTAAGGGCTTTTTTTATCTTACTATTTAATAATATAGTATTAAGAGGCACGCAAAAGCATATTTTTGATATTGCTTTTTTGAGGTTAATAAAACTACTATTAATGTGCCTTATAATATTATTAAGGAGATATTAGACTAGCTCAGAGGGAGTACTTAAAATACGCTTTCGAATAATATTATTCTTATCGCTATATAATTTATTATTATATATTAATTATTAAAAAGTAAAATCAGGTTATCTCTTGAATTCTAATATAAAACTGCGTTATATAACCAAAAGAGGGGTCTTAGTATTTTAGAATTAATTTTTGTGAGCTCTTGTATAAGCTAGTAATTTATTTATATGCTAATAACTAATTTTATATATAAGCTTACTAAAATAAATAATAATATATGAAATCTTAATATATATCTTAATGTTTATCTATATTTTGAGTATTAAATAAGAGCTATCTAAGAGAATTCAGTCGCTATTATTAATCTTAAACGACTATGAATGCTTAAATTCATTATAAAGAGCGTTATCAGCCTCCTTAACGCTCTCTAGATAACGTTGATGCTATATCTTATCATGCTGCAGCAAATTCACGTGAATGCCGTGGCTAATACCCATCTCCTTCCAGTCTTCTCTTATTAAAGAGGCCATATCCGAGAGCCCTACGCCATGCTCGGCCAACTTCTTGAATGCTCGTTCGAATTCAGCTCGTTGAGCCGGTCTATCCTTGATTCGCGAGCAAATGAACGCGATGAGGCGAGCATCTTCATCTCTAGCCTGTGGAATCGGGCTGCTCGGCGTCACAAGAGGCTGTAAAGGCGTCATAGCCCTTGACGGCGTCGCTGAACCCCTATATCGATCCTCACTGTTAGCAGACTCGCGGAGCAGAGTATCCTGCTGTTGAGCGCCGCCAGAAAGATTGAGGTTGAGCGTCAACCCCCCAGCTGACGCTAAACTTGCTGTCGACGCTGCCTGTAGAGTTGACGGAGGCTGTAGCTTTTTGGCGAGCTCTTTCTCCTTCTCTCTAGTCATTCGTTGAGCTAGAGATATAGGAGGATGCGCTATCCATCTTTCTGACGTAAATTTTGACATTTTTTTAATTGGTCAACCTACTGAGCGCCAAGAGAAACTTAAATTTATATTCCACCAATAGAAAGCCTCTACCAGAACCTTATTTCAAGATACCCTAACCTATTTGGGAAGTAGCAACACCACAGAAAATAGAATTAGATATATCTACTATAGAAAGGCCAAATAGCGAGCCCAACACCTCGAATTGTGGCAGATCGAGATGCCACATTTGCTGCAAGACCATATGGTCTGGCGGATACCCTTTCTGTCTCTTTTTGCGCTGTTGGGGGCGTTGATAGACCTTTCCTGGAGTGCTTTGCGCGGCCTGCCTTGTTTCGGACTAGGATTACACAGCTCACAGCGGCGATAGCGATCTCCCTTGACCCACGAATGCCCTTTGTAGCTATCTTTTGGTACTGATTTAGTATGTAGATTGCAGCTAGCTTGGGGAGGGCGTGGTGGCCGTTGCCGTAGAATAGCTCCAGGCCCTCGGAGCAGACTTTGTGCTATTTCTTCTTGAAATTGAGCATGTGAGAGCTTTTTTTTCATACTACCTAGCTTGTAGAGGATATACGCGTTTGTAACAGCTGCGTCGATAAGCAGATAGAATAGGGGTAGCCAGTTACGTCGATGATAGTGTCGACTTACTGAATAGTATGAATTCAGTTTAGCGTGGTTATCTGAGCCACCCATCTCTTTATTATAATGCTCAAGAGCATATAGCTTTCGTATATATTGTTGTGAGTTATTGTCAGAAGGCGTAGGGCACGTAGAAAGCGTAGAATTCGCAGGAGGCGCAAGGTGCGCAGGGTGCGCAGAATTCGTAGAAAGCGCAGGGCACGTAGAAAGCATAGAATTCGCAGGAGGCGCAGAATTCGCAGAAGGCGCAGGGCACGTAAATTTCGCAGCATTAATAGAATTTGCAACGTTTGCAGTTTCTGCATCCACAGCAAGCTTTAGAGAGGCCCCAGGACGCTTGATTCTGTCGAAATAGGTGTATTCCTCCATAGTAGGATCGTGAACAGTGGTCATCATTGCCTTGGAAGCTGAATCACAAAATGCGATACAATTGACGCTGCCAACCACGTAATTAAACTACTCTCTATGGTCATTCTGCTTCGTCATCGCCTCACGGAGATATGCTAGCACTTTTGGTATACCTGACCCTGCTTTAGCTGTGCCATTGGCTCCAATTCCAAGTTCGTAGAGTCGTTGATAGAGCTTGCGAGTCGTAAAGAAGTTATCCACGTGTAGAACGTAAAATGGCCTAGGGCGTGGAAAACGAACTAAAAGCGACTCTGCAAGATCTAGCACAATTGCCTCGCTTTGAGAGAATCCAGGATATCGACCTAATTCAGCTACCTTCTCTGTAGCACTGCTGAATCTGAAATCGATCATATAGCCATTAAAGCAACAGAGACTATAGATCTTGAATCCCTCGCTAGCAGCCTTTGAATTCATCTGAAGAGTATGCTTTGAACGGCCTTTAAATTTGACTAATTGCTCGTCAATTGAGAGATTCTGTGGCAATTCGTACACGTTCGGAGTCATAGCTTTGCGAAAATGAGTAGCCAAGGGCTTAACCTTTTTGTACCATTGATTATCAGGGAGAGGCCCTGGTCTATTGAGCTTGAGATATCTTGAAATCTGTTGAAATCGGTGTATAGAGATGTATTTAGCGACAGGCTAATAAGGATAGTTCTTCTTCTGATTCCAATAATAGGCCAGATCTCTGCCACCTGGCTGTACGCCAATAAGCAGCACAGCGCCAATATATCCTCTGATATCTGCAGCAGTTACATCCCCCCATTCTCGTTGATTTTGATCGAATTCTTGAGATCTCTCTTCAAATGCGTATTCGTTCGTATGCTCTGCAATGTCTGTAAAGAGCTCATTTGGAATAAAACGATAGAATAGATCAATTGGCTTGTATTCATGAGCACGAAGTTTCGGCTGCCCTGGCGCGTATGGGATTGGAACGTTCAGCTTTTCTGGGTAAGGTTGATTAGGACCTATTTGCTCAGCAAGGATTTTCAGCTTTTCTGGCTTGTTTTGAGTAGATTCAACTTGTATCTGCCATTCTTCCTTCTCTTTTCTATGCTGTGTATGTATGCCAGGTCCTTGAGAGCTGTTTTGGCGATTTGGTGGGCGTCGTCGTTTCGATTGAGATGCGTCATTTCCAATAGATGAGGAATATTCATCGCTTGAAGTCGGTACCGTACGCGTAGCAGGCCGCAAGGAAAGTACTTCGGAGAACTGACTTTGCGCTTGATTTTCTTGGGCTTTTCGGCTCTGAATTCGCGCTCTCTTGGGTCGAGGGCAGTCCTTAGCCAACGGAGCAGCTTCAATAGCATCAATTGGCCCTGAAATCTCCTCTTGGTGGTGTTTTTGAGTCATTTGCTATGCATCAATTGGTACATTCCTATCCTGCTGCCATTCTAGGGGTGAAAATTTAAGGTTAAGGTTACCGACGCTAAGCGGTGGTAGCCGGAGCTACTACGCCATGCTGACCAATTAAAAAAATGTCAAAATTTACGTCAGAAAGATGGATACCAACACCAGGGCCATCATTAATGGCTTGATTCCACGCTCGAAGATGCTCTCCGTTGAGTCGAATATGACCATATAACGGCAGATTATAGCAAGGATTGCCAAAATTAGGACAGCTCTGTCGCTTACACGTATGACGCTTACTAAGAGTTGCTATATAATTAATTGTAACAGTCTGTACGGCCTCTTCAACTGCTCGCTGGCGTGTACTAGCAGTTGCGCGTGGCTTTTTCGTATTTGAGGCTATTTTGGCCTTACTAAAGCAACACGTAGATGGGGCAGAGATGAGCTCTTTGAGGCAGCTAGCAGCTCCTGTATCTTGCTCTCAACAGTAAACATATCTCCTTCGTCGTCAAGGGTATATAGAAAAGGCTTTTGAGCGCCTTTTTTGACGCTTGCCTCAAATCCACGAAATTCAGCGCTTTTGTTGGCTCTACACGCAGCGTTAGAGGCACGTTGATAAGCATCTTGCTCAAAATGCTCAAAATCGAGCTTCGTCGACTTAATAGAGCTATTATAGATAGCCTTTTTACCCAAAACAACGCTCAACTCGATGGTATAGGGCTGAAAACCGATCTCCTTCTCCTCCGCCTCCTCCACCTCCTCCTCCTCTTCCTCCTCCTCCTCTGCCTCCTCCTGTTCCTCCTGCTCCTGCTCATCCTCCTGCTCCTCCTGCTGAGCTATAGAGCCATCGT